AGAGACACTCTCCCTGTTTCTCTTACCTCACGCTGCACTGAAGCCTCTGGCACCTGATCTCTTTGCTCATCCACGCATTCTCACTGCTCTCATAACATACAGAGTCTGGCGGGGGTGAGGGGTGGGGGTGGAAAGCTCAGAATCGTGTTGCTACTGCAGAATGCTGCTTCCTTTAAGCTCACTTTCATAACTGACAAACTGGACTTGGCCTCATGTTTTGGCATGTCGGTTCCTTCTAGCATTGGGGAGCTGCTTTCATACATTGCCCTTCCACAAAACACCTAGCTTTAATACAATTCATTACTTGAAGAATACTGTAAGTAGACTATTGTAATAATTTAACCTCTTGTTTTCTATAATTATAAAACATCTATATATAAAATATTACATAATCCAGAGACATAAACAAGGTTATGTTAAAATAGAACATACTGCTATCCACACATCTAATTTCCAAAAGGAAAAACCAACAGCATGCTAGCAGAGTTCTTCAAAACAATGTTTTTCTGTTGATGAAAACAATAAACAATATTTAGTGAGCTCTTTTCTTGAATAGAGTGATACAAAACCATCTTAGCAAGTCTCTCCCTATAATGTGGCATTCAAAAAAGCCAACTCTTCGGTAACCTTTTAAACAATTTCTGCATTCTCAGATATGCTTTATCTGCCTTTTACTAGTTTCGTTTCTCTCTCTCTCTCTCCCCTCTCTCTCTCTCTCTCTCTCTCTCTCTCTCTCTCTCTCTCTCTCTCTCTCTCCTCTTTCTCTCTCTCCAGTTCAACCAGTGCTTGGTTTTACCATAGCCTTAATCAAATACTTTCAAGACACTCAATTGTAAAGAATTTTAGGCAGGAATAGCAACCAATGTAGTATGTCTGCATGGATTAATAAATAGTAAGAAAGAGGTCTTATGAGTCAGCTGAGGTATCTGTAAATGAATAGGAAACATAATCAGTTTGAAAAAAGGGGTGTTTTAATACCAGGTACAAACTCTGCTGCTTCTTGCTGGTGTCACTGGGAACATTGCAGAGGTCTCTAACTGGAGAACCATGTGAAGAGGGAGGCTGGGAAGTGGAGAGCTGGGTGACAGCAAATAGCAATGAGGAATGAATCTTCCTTCCTTCCCTTTGCTACACACCAAATTTGTATGACATAACATACCAATCACACATCCACTGTATTAACAGGCTTCTATTTTTAAATGCAAATGCATCCTGGTAGGAATAAGTCTAATTCACATCCTAGTCCCAATTACTTATTTAGAACTGATCAACACCTTCCAGAGATTAAACTCTAGGGATAATGATGAATATCTATCTATATAAAAGCCCAACAACCATTACAATGGAACAACCAGAATGACTGATCGCTATGACATGCCCTGACCACCAGGGGGCAGACGCTCAATGCAGGAACTGCCCCCGGGTGGCCAGTGTGCTCCTACAGTGGGAAAGCCGCTCAGCTAAAAGTCGTGCTCACAGCTGGAGAGCGCAGCAGCAGTGGGAGCCTCTCCCACCTCCGCGGTAGTGATAAGGAGCGGCGAGCCAAGCGGTAAGGAGTGAGCAGGCAGGTGGTTAACAGCAAGGGGTCCCGGGCTGTGAGAGGGTGCAGGCTGGGCTGAGGGACACCCCCCTCCCCGTGCATGAATTTTGTGCATGAGGCCTCTAGTTTACTTTTAAAATTTCTTTTTATTTTATTGAACAAATATATCTATGAGCTAGGCTCTGCTCTAACCACTTTTCAAATATTAACAAGGGAACAGGATAAGGTGGGGCTGAAGATATCTTGAGAAGAGAATGAGACAATAGGTACAGGGTAGAAGAAGATGATAGGATAGTAGGAAAGGAAAACCAGAAGGGGGATGTTTGAATAAAAAACTGCCAGTTTTATAACTTTGCCTAAGACCCTACCTAGCTAGGGAAAAATTTCTGTCACAAGTTCTTGTCACTGCTGAAATGGAACAGGGATAATTCTAAAGTTTATGACCCACAGCTTTTTTGACCCCTAAATTTAGTAGTCACCTTAGTTTGTAACAATGTCTCTACTTTGGTCCAATATCTGACAGATTCCCACTGAAAAGAGGAAAGATTTGAAAATTTATAAGCAATTTCCTGTATTCTGGCCCTTCAGACCATTGTCACCTCTGTTTACTGTTTCAATTTCCACTTCCCTCCCAGGGAGACTACCTCTTGTAAACATGGACAGCTGTGCTTTGGCTGTCCTGTGGAGCCCTTCACAAACAAGCAATTCTGTTCTTCAGGTACATGGCTGTGGCAAAAGGATGCATCTTTATCTTCAACTGCGTTAATGACTGGAGAGCCCAGCATTGATGTTACTGCCTTTGCCTAGAGCTCAGTCTCATCACAGCAAGCTCCAGCAAGGAACGCAGCATGGTATCTTTCCTACAGGGATCACCTTGTATGGGTTTCCACTCAAAGGGAAACTCAATAAAGAGTGCTGAGTGACTGGCAGAAAACAGTACACTGACCTCTCCTCCATGGTGGAAGCTGGAACAGTGAGGGCACAAATACAGGGGAAAGCAGGTCATGGCCAATGCAAAATCACGGTTAAAGTGAATTTACAAAAATATGGTACAAAACATTTAATTTATGGCTTAAGCTTAAAACTATACGATATTTAGAAACAATTGCATTGTTCTATGAATGTCATCCCAAACATATAAAAATAAAATGAATGATATTTAGTAAGCTCAAACATCATACAAATTGCTTGACAAAAAAAACCCAAGTATTATCTGTCAAAAACATTCCTTTGAATACAGTAAAACCTTGACATAATAGACTAATTCAGGTGTGTGGATGTCCATTAAAGCTGAAAGTCTATTATATAATAAAGTAGGTTTTCCAAATGCATATGTTAAAAATTTGACAAATTAGTTAACCTGTTTTTACTTATATAGACACTAGGGGCCCGGTGCACAAAGATTCATGCACTGGGGGAGGGGCGGGGGGGAAGGTCCCTCAGCCCGACCTGCACCCTCTCCAATCTGGGAGCCCTC